ACAAAAACCGTAAAGCCGTAAAAAAAAAAGAAAAAATTACAAGACGTGGTCGGAATAGTAAAAACAAAAGAAGCAGGGAGTAGAAAAAAAAAAGAGTGGGGAAGAGGGAAAAATAGGGAATAAAAAGGGAGGGAGGGGAGAGGGGGACGAAGAAAAAAATGGGAATTTTTTTTTTATATACAAAATATAATTTTACATGATATAAATAAATAAATATTACGAGTCGAATTTTTGTTTTTAAAATGTCAATAAATATAAACATGCAATTTGATAAATAAAATAAATTTTATTATTATTATTATTATTATTATTATTACTATTATGAACACCGATTTTTATTACGTTCGATTATGGATTTTATAAATAAAAATAAAATTAATAAATCGATTAATCGATTTGTAATTTTTCTTGAATAAAAATGAATGAGTGTATGTGGTGTGTGCGTGTGCGTGTTTGCATGCGTGTTTTTTTGTTTGTGGGTGTGCGTGCGTGTGTGCGCGTATTTGCGTGTTTGTTACACATCGAATAAAATCGATTTAAAAAAAAAAAGGGAAAAAAGGAAAAATAAAAAGTTTTTAATTAAATAAAATGTTCATGTTATGGTTTATTAGTTTCGCGCGTTGTTCCGCGAATTGCTATTTTTTTCTTGTTTTTTCTCGTTGTTAATTATTTTTGGCTCTTGTTGTTGTTGTTGTTTGTTGTTATTAAAAAAAAAACAATTTTCTTTATTTTTTAAGAAAAAAAGCCAATTAAAACCGAATTACAAAAAAATAGAAGAATATATATATATATATATATATATATATATATATATATATATATATATATATATATATTTTTTTTTTATTTTATTTTTAAATGAAATAAAAATAAAATTAAATAGAAAATAAAAAACAAAATGGCGGAAAATTTTCATTCGACGTAATTTATTTTAAAAAATTTTGTTGTTGTTGTTGTCGTCGACGTCATCGTAATGTTTATCATGTTATCGAATAATATTTTGTACGTTTGTTTATTTAAACAAAAGTAATAATTGTTAAAAAGAAAAAAAAAAAAATTTGGAAATGAGTTTGCCTCTCTCTCTCTCTCTCTGACTCATTGTCTTTTTCTAATTTTTTTGTTTGCAAATACAAACACGCGCACTTACGCACACGACGCAAAAATTTATTATTTATAAACAATTTCTCCATAGAAAAATATAGTTTAAAAAAAGTTTTTTTTTGTTTTTTTTGTTTTTTACCACAATAAAAATTCAATTTTATTTTATTTTATTTTATTTTTCTTTTTTTTTTCTTTTTTTTTCGTTTTCCATAGTTTAAGTTTTTATATATTCAGAAGATGATTTTTTGTCTCTCGGGAATCAAAAAAAAAAAAAAAAAAAAAAAAAAAAAAAAAACTTCTTTAATAAAAGATTATTTTCAATTGTTTTTTCTTTTTTTTTCATTTAAAAAGAAAATATTATTATTATTATTATTATTATTATTATTATTATTAATATTATTATTATTATTATTATTATTATTATTATTATTATATAGTTAGTGTAAAATTCATCAGCAGATTCGGCCATTTTCGATTTTTATTTGCGTATATGTTAATGAATTCTTTTGTTAAATTCATATTTTAAGAAAAAAATCATTGTGTGAGTGTCTTTTTAATCATCAT